TTAATAAGCTCTTAGCTAATTAACTACCTTTTATATTTAAGCTCTCGAAGGTTAGTTAGCTACCTTTCGTACTTAAGCTCGTAGAGGTTAGCTAATTACTTTTCGTACTTAAGCTCTCGAAGGTTAGTTAGCTACCCTTTATACTTAAGCTCGCGGAGGTTAGCTAGCTACCTTTCGTATTTAAGCTCATAAAGGTTAGCTAGCTGCCTTTCGTATTTAAGCTCTTAAAGGTTAGCTAGCTACCCCTTATATTTAAGCTTATAGAGGTCGGCTAGCTACCCTTTAGCTTATTTAAGCTAGCTAATATAAGACTAAAATAGACCTAGCTTATTTACCTTAATATTATTATTAATATTATTAATTAGCTTAAGTAAAGTATTTTAGTACTTAATATTATTATTATTAGATATAAAAGTTAGCTAATCTTTAATAAAGTTAAAAATAAGGGTATTAATTAAAGGTAATTAAGTTAGGTTTATATTAATAATATTATTATTAAATAGGGTTAAAACTATAAAATTATCTTTTATAAAATCGATAATTAAAATACTATTATAGAAGCTTATAATATTATTAAGACTTAAATTAGACTTTAAGGTAAGACTTATATTATAGTTAATAAGACTTATTTTATAGTTAAAAGATATAGTTAAAGAATTATCTTTAATAAAGTCGATAATTAAGATATTATATAAGTATTGAAAGGGGTATTAAAGGCTATAATTAAGATTAATATTAACGTTAATCTTATAAGAATACACTAGTTATATTTATATATTAATATATTATATTTTATATTTAATAATATTATAAGAAATCGCTACTTTTTTAATGAGAACTACTATTTACCTACGCCCGTTTCTCTATTTACCTACGCCGCGCCGCGTGCTAAGGGCAGCTAAGCTATCAGCTATAGGCCAAGCCGTTAACCCCTATAAGAGACCGGCCCGGCCTAACCCAAGCTGCTAACCACCCCTAACTATATAACCTACATATATAGTAACAGGGGTTACGGCATATATAGCCTCTAGGGCGATACGGACGAAATTAATAATTGACGATAACGAGGGCTACGAAGACAGAGGCTACGAAGATAGAGGCTACGAAGATAGAGGCTACGAAGATAGAGGCTACGAAGATAGAGGCTACGAAGATAGAGGCTACGAAGACGAAGGCAACGGTAACGAAAGTAATGACTAAATTAAGGTAATATTTTAAGACTAGGTATATATATGTCTTTCTAGACCGACGATTCTAAATATTATAGAGAATATAATATAATATTAAAGCCTATATATCCTTTATCCGCAGCGCCGATATAACTTCTTTATCCTTACCTTCTAGCTTACCTATAATAACTAACGTTATTAAGGTAGTATAGGCAATATAAATATAGAGGGCGTTATATTATATTAGCTACCTTAATAGGTAGATATAAGTACTTATTACTTCCTCGACTCGACCTCTTACTCTACTATTATTATAAGGGATAGCTATAACGAAAGGAAATTAAAGAATAGTATTTCTAGTAGCGGTAGTAACGGTAGCGGTAATAGCGGTAGCGATAGTGCCTAAAGGTAATAACTATACTATACCTTAATGCCCTTATCTATCGTCGACGATAAAGTAGGCTATAGTAATACGGGCCTAACTAAAGTCTTATTCTTAGGCGGCGGCATTTAAGAAAGGCAACTCGAGGGTTCTAAGCTAGGTAGCGGCTAATTAATTCCTACTAAACGTAACTATAACGTAAGCTATAACGTAAGCTATAATAAAGGCCGTAATATAGGTCGTAACGAAAGTCGTAATAAAGGTCGCGATAACGATAATAAAGGCAGCGGTAATAGCGGAAGGGGGTAGCTTAGGGGACTTAAGCTAGGCGGTAGCTAGGGAGCTACCGGCGGTAACTATAATAGAGGGCTTAAGGGAGCTTCTTTTAAGAAGCTTAGCCTTAGTAGCGCGTTAATAGCATAACGAGAGCTATCTCTATACCGAGCTCTTAACGAGATATATTTACTAGTCTATAGCATTTTTAGAGAGGTATAGCAAAAAGAGAGAGAAAGAGAGAGATAAGTAAAGATAGAGAGAGGGATATAGGAGAGAAAGAGGAACTTACTTCGAATTAAGTAGCTAAGCTAAATATATATAGCCTAATAGATTAATTCCGCGAGAGAGAGACGTTTTAATACTTAGTTATAGCGTAGACGAGGAGTAAATAGAAAGTGCCTATAAGTAATATAAAGTAGATAGTATATATTATAGAGTAAAAGCTTTATATAAAAGATTAAACTTAAGTTACTTAAATACGAGAAGAGAGAGAAGATTATACTTATATTAATATAGGCTATATAGCCTATACCTTTCCCCCTAGCGAGTAACCTTATGCTATAAGGCTCGAGTTATATATACTTCCCTATATATAATAACTCGAGTACTTAATGGCTATAAAGGCTATATATTTATAGTAACGATAATCTCGTCTAGAGCTTTACTTAAGGCTCGTCTAGCGTAATAGACTTACGATATAGAAATAGTTTATACCTATCTCTAGTTATCTATAGATATAGGATCTTAACTTATATAGGCTTAAGTCCGTTAGCTACGAGCTATTATACCTTAGCCGCGAGCTCTTATACCTTAGCTACGAGTACTCGTTATAGTATTTTAAGTAGTCTAAGTACTTTATGCTCGTATAGTCGCCGCTCTATATATTTATATACCTTATATACCTCGAGTTCCGCGTACTTATATACCTTATATATACTTTATATACCTTAAGTTCTACGTGCTTATATACCTTATATACTTTATATACTTCGTATCTTACATACTTATTTAGCTCGTTATATAGCTTATTCGGCTTAAATATTATTAAATAGTCTTATTTTCATATACGTATTTCTCTATTTTTATATAACTCCGTTACTAAGGCCCGTATAGCTACTAAGAGCCCTTATTACGAGCGCTAAAAATAGGCCTGCCGGGGTACTATAATATTATTCTAGCGGCTTACGTACGTAGCCCGCTATAGTAACGGAAGGCATAGCGGGCTACCGGGCTATAATAGATAATTAAGGCTATCGCGGGCTACTAGGCTACGCGGGCTATAGCAGGCAATTAAGGCTATCGCGGGCTATACGGGCTATAGCGTAATTAAAGCTATTGCGGGCTGCTAGGCTATACGGGCTATAGCGCAATTAAGGCTATCGCGGGCTGTACGGGCTATAGCGTAATTAAAGCTATCGCGGGCTGCTAGGCTACGCGGGCTATAGTAGGCAATTAAAGGCATCGCGGCCCGCGGGCTATAATAGGTAACTAAAGGTATCGCAGTATACGTAGCTATAGTAGCAATTAAGGGCATTACGGCCTACTAGGCTAGGGGCTACGAGCTCGGCTAGATAGTATAGCACTATAGCCCGGTCTTAGCGGTATAACTTATATAAAAATAGAGAAATACGTATATAAAAATAAGGATACTTATATTATTAACTTTGAATTAAGAGAGATCTCGTTTAATACTTAAATTAAATCGAGTTATTCCTCTACCTTAACTTCGGCTTAGCTATTAAGACTTTAAGCTTATTATATTACTTATATTAATTAGTATCTCGAGTACCGTCGGTATAAGTAATATACTATTTTCTACCTATCGAGGCTACCTATAAAGGTTTTTAATAATAGCTAGATCTCTAACTTAGAGAACTAGTCGCTTATAATCTTAGATAAAGTAAAGAGTTAGTAACGTTAGATAATAAGCTAACGGCTAAACGCAAACCTATTAAAGGCTTCTCGAGCTATTAACGCGAGTTATAATTATACTTTAATAAAGTTAAGCTACTTAAGATATATATATAGATAACGTAACTATAAGGAAAGGCATATTATTATATAAAGTTATTAATATAAGGTTAAAGTAATAGCGGATTAAGCTTTCGCTTAATTAATAATACTATAATAATAAGTCGATATTATATTAATAGTAACTTAACTATAGTATATAAGTAAATATACTTAATATTACTAAGTTAATTATATTAAGCGTAAATCTGCTATAACTTTATCGCCTATTTAATAGCCTCTTTAATATACTATCTCTAATATTTCTCGATTATTATTACTATCGCTATATAGAGATAAAGTAGATTACCTATACTTATAATTAAGTAACTTTTAAGGCTCTTATATAAGCTCTTAGCTAAGCTATTAACCTATTAGCTAAAGTTACGATATTTATTGATATAGTATTTAGCTTATTAATAACGAAATAGTAGATACTCCTTCTTTATATACTATAATATGCCCCTTTAATAAGGTAAATATACCTTATTTATTATCTTTTAAGTTATTTCGAATTCGACTTTAGTTATTAAGAAATTAAGGAACTTTTAAGCCTTATATATTCTATTAAGCGTCTACTTAAGGTCTAATGCTATTAAGGGTCGAGGTAGCTTATAGCTATTATCGTCTTCCTATCTTTAAGCCTCCTTTTTAAGCTTATCTACCTCCTTAAGAGATATTTCCTCGAGTCCGTTAATATCGCTATCGCTTACTAAGTTACCGCTATAGCCCTCTTATTTTAGGTCTATCTATCTCGATCGATTTCTTACTTAGACGTTAGCGTTAATATAGAAAATATAAAGTTATTATTATATATTAACGAAATAGTTTATTAATGCGTTTTTAAGGGCCGTCTCTTTATCTATTATAACGATATTGAGCTCTAAGACGTTAATCTCCTAGCGGATATAGTCTAGCTACTCGTAAAGCTACTTATAGCCCTCTTAGCGCTTTATATTAATAAGGCTAAAGGCGAAGTTAGTAAGGGACTATTAGTCTATAACGCTAATAACTTAAAAGAGATATATTTTAAAACGGTTAGTCTTATAAGTATCCTTATTTTCACACACGCATTTCTCTATTTTCACACACGTCGCACCGCCAAGACCGGGCTACAGTGCCACACTGTCTCGAGCCTACAGCCCGCAGCCCGGCAGCCCGCGATGGCTTCAATTGCCTGCTATAGCCCGCGCAGCCCAGCAGCCCGCGATAGCTTCAATTGTGCTGCAGCTCGTGCAGCCCGCGATGGCCTCAATTGCCTGCTGCAGCCCGCGCAGCCCAGCAGCCCGCGATGGCTTCAATTGCGCTGCAGCCCGTGCAGCCCGCGATGGCCTTAATTGCCTGCTGCAGCCCGCGCAGCCCGGCAGCCTGCCATGCCTTCAGTTGCTGCAGCGGGCTACGTGCGCAGGCCGCTGGAATGACACTGTAGCACCCCGGCAGGCCTATTTTTAGCGCTCGTGACAGGGGCTCTTAGTGGCTGTACGGGCCTTGGCAGCGGAGTTGTGTGAAAATAGAGAAATGCGTGTGTGAAAATAAGACTACTCAGTCTTATTTATATTCTTAAGACTAAGAACCTCTAGGAACTTTTTCTATATCTCTTCGTACTAACGATAGGTCTAGAAAACCCCTTAGATATAGTTCTTAGTATTATACTTTATAAAGTACTTAATCTTCTCTTCCTCTAAGATCTAGATAAATACTTACGTTAATATAAGTCTATTAAGAGTCTCTTTATGAATATATTAATAGTTATTATAAATATTATAGGTCTAAAAAAATTATCGCTTTAAAGCTAAGCGTTAGCGAAGAATCGAGTCTATTTAATATACGCTAATAGTACTAGCTTTTAAGATATCTTTCTCGATCTCTCTTTACTTTTAAGTCTATTAATAGTATATATTATATATTAATATATAGAGAGATAAACTATAATTATAATAAGGATTAATAACTTAATAAGTCTAACTCTAACGCCCTATATTATAAGTATAAATACTTGATATATTAATTAAATAAGGGTAGTCAATCTTCTATAAAATAGTCGCCTTTAATCTAGTACTTATTAATAGCTAAGCCCGACTATAGTTATATTCGAAGATAATATAGGTAGCTTAAGTAACGCTATTACTTAAGTTTCGTTAGTTATTACTAATCTTAATAACAATACTAATATCGTTCTTACGATAGAAGCCCTAAAAGCTAGCTATAAAGTCCTTATATATATTAAATACTTATAAGATAAGAGGTACTAAAATCTATCGGGTAGTATAATCTCTATTATCTCCGTTATCTTCGTTATTAGCTTCGTTCGCGTTATTAGATTTATTACCGCTATAGGCTTCGTTATCGCTATAGGCTTTATTGCCGCTATAGGCTTCGTTATTACTATTCTTATAGCTTTCGTAACTACTATATATCTTATCTTCGCCTTACTCGTAAAGATCTTAAAGATCTTAAGCTAGCTAAAAGCCTCTATTAAAGGTAGTAATAGAGTTATTATCTAAGGAAGAAGAGGTTAGAGTTAGAGATAGGGCGAAATTCTTATCGCTATCGCTAGTAGTCCTTTAGTCTTACTAATAATAGAGGTTTTATAGGTCTTAAGCTAGCTAAAAGCCCTTATTAAATATAGTAATAGAGAAGGTCGAAGTTAGCTACGAGATAGCGTTCTTATCGCTATTACTACTTCTATCTTCTTGCTTACGATAATAGTCTTATAGGTCTTAAGCCGGCTAGAAGCTACCGTTAAAGGTAGTTAGAGGGCTTAACGGTAAGGAAACCGGAGAAAGAGCGCTAGCTTAATTAAGGCTAGTACGAGCTATTATATATATTAACTCGGGTAACGTAAGCTATCTATTAGATAAGTCGATAGCGGCATTATTAACTATAGTATTAATAACTATTATAGTTATAGCCCTATTAATAATTATATTAATATCTAGAAAATTACTTCTTAAGTTACCTATTAAGTCGTCGCCTATAAGATTAATAATATAAAACGTTTCTCCGTTTATATAGGCGATTAAGATAGGGTATCTTCCTATAAGATTAATAATCGTATTTAGATCGTTAAGAATAGCGCTAAGGTCTATTATAGCCTTCTTAGGCATTACGCTCTCTTTCTCGTATTTCTTAATACTATAGAAGTAAGGAATATATAATAACTTTACTCGAGACTATTAGACTTTTTATCTTTAATACTATAGATTACTTAATTATATATAAAAAGTTAACCTTCTATAAGATATAGTAATATATATACTATATAACCTATTATATCGTCGGGTTTAATAGAAGCTATACTTAACTATTAAATCTAGGCATAAAGGCATTAATAACGTATAATAACCTTATGCTATTAATATACGTAAGTATAGCCGGGCCGCTAGGGGTTAACGGCTTAGCCTATAGCTAATAGCTTAGCTACCCTTAGTACGTAACGCGGTATAAGTAAATAGAGAAACGGGCGTAAGTAAATAGTAGTTCTCTTTTTAATTATTATATTTCTTATTACTTATTATAATATTTACTAAAGAATATATATTATATATAAACTACTTAATACTTTAAGAAGTAATATAAGGCTTAATATTACTTATTATTTAGCTAAACTAAGTATACCCTTATTTAAAAGGTACGGTAGAGTAATATCTCTATAATAATATTTATTAAGCTCCTTATATATATAGCCGCTTAGTTAATAGCCCGCTAATAGCTTAGTTTAATAAGTTAGCTAGGCTTATTTAGCTTATTTAGCTTACTTAGCCTTACTTAGCCTTACTTAATATATAAGGCTATATAAGTAAATAGAGAAAGGCATATATTAAAGTAATACCTCTCTTTCCTATAGATATAGCTAACCTAAGCTTATAACCTATAAGAAAGAAGGATAAAAGTAATAAAAGATAGAAATAATAAAGAAATAAGGATATAAGAGATAAGAAAGGTAATAATAAAATAAGATAAAAGAAATAATAAAGGTATTAAATTACTTAATCTTCTATCCTCTCTAGACTAAAAAGGGAAAAGTTTTATATATAATTAAAAAGACCTAGCCTTTAATTTAATAGTCTCTCTATTAATTTAATACTAGCTTTTATAGCTAAAAATATAATAAGGCTAGCTTTAATAAATAAGAGCTAGTTAGCTTATTAATATTAAATATACTATAAAGAAGTAAAATAAGGTTATATAAGCTAGCTACTTTTATACTTATAGTACTCTTTTTCCTTATATAGCGCCCCTTTCTACCTTATAGTATTATATAACTTAATAGGTAGCTTAAGCTAGGCTTAAGCTCGGACTTTAAGGACTAACCCTTAATATTACCCCTTTCCTCCTTTTTATATATAGCTATAAAGGGCCTTACTTATAAGAGTATATAGCCCTTATAGAATAATATAGATCTAAGTAAAACTATAAATAAGGCGCCCTTAATGCCTAAAATAAAGTATAATTATTATTATTTATATTAATTAAGCTATATATAATTATTAATAGTTAATTAATTAAGAGTTAATTTATAAGTTATTACCCTTTATTAAATAAGAGAGCTATATAATAGCTATTTAGCTTATATATTTATAATTTATATAATTAATAATTAATTTAATATATTTATATAAAAAAGGCTTTCCTTTATATTTAAAAAAAGTCTTTTTCTTTTTTTAATATTATTCTTTTTATATTATTATTATTATTACCTTAACTTTATTATTACTATAATAATAATAATAATAATAATAATAATAATAATAATAATAATAATAATAATAATAATAATAATAATAATAATAATAATAATAATAATAANTAATAATAATAATAATAATAATAATAATAATAATAATAATAATAATAATAATAATAATAATAATAATAATAATAATAATAATAATAATAATAATAAAGGTCATATCTTCCCTTAAGATATAATATTTATAGCACGGTCGTCCGGGCCGTCATCTCGACTCGGTTCCTTCTCGCTATCCTGAGGCGCGGGGAAGTTAAGGTGCTTCCAATCCTCCAGCTCCTCCGTGACGGAGCGCATACGGTCGCGGATGCTTTCGATGGCGTAGCTCCCGAGGAGAAGGCGCAAAGGCGGGTAGGAACAGTGAGCCAGCTGCCAAACCAGCTCAGCGCACTTAACGGCACTAGTGGGCTGGCGATCGCCGAGCCATTGCACCATCCTCTTGGCATGGAGCGCGGGCGAGGTGGCGTGAGCATAGTCGTCGCTGGGAGGCTTGATGAGGAAGTGGCCCCAAGTGGGTAGAGGGTTCCCCCCGGTGTCGGGCTCATCGCGCCTGACGAGGCCGGGCTCGATGAGGGTCGCCTTGATGTTATAGGCATCCGTCTCATATAGCATGGCCTCGATGAGACCCTCGACGGCGTACTTGGAGGCACAGTAGGGGCCCAAGCCCGGGACGCCTAGGGCGCCAGAGGTCGAGCTGAAGATGAGGTAGCGGCCGGTGTTCTGCCTGCGGAAGTACGGCAAGGTTGAGTGAATGATGTGGACGGTGCCCATGAAGTTGGTCTCGAACTGGTTGCGTACGTCATGCTCGTCCTGGTCCTCGCAGGCGCCTATGACGCCGTAGCCGGAACAGTTGGCGACAACGTCAATGCGACGGAAGCGATCCAGGGTCTGCTGGACGACAGAGCCAACGGAATCGCGGGAGCGAACATCGCATAGCGTGCCGAGGCAGTTGGCGTGGATGCCGGCCATGTCTTCGGGGCGGGACTCGAAGACGCGGCCGACCGAGGTGACGAGGTCACCACGGGAGAGGGCACACTTGACCAGCGAGCGGCCCATGTGGCCGGTGCCTCCGAAGATCTATGCACACGCGACGCGGATCAAATCAGTCAGGCCGGTGAGCATCGCGGATGGGTGGGCGCGCAGCAAAGCGACCTACGATCCATACGAGCTGCTTCGCAGGTGAGCTCGCCGACGGCGGGTCGCAGCTTGCCGGCAGCTGGAGTCGCGGCTTGCTGTCGGCGGCGTCGGATGCGTGCGGCTCCATGTGCGACTAGGCACCGGGGCGCGCCTCGTGGCGCGCGGTGGTCAACGGTCGGCGTCTCGGACGGGAGGGCACAGGGTGGTGATGTTGGAGGAAGACCGCGTTCCGTCCGCCCGGCCGGCCGGCGTTGCAACTGGAGCTCCCCACGCACGGCCACTGCCGCGGGGAGGTAAGGTACTTGTCGCCAAGGTACAGCAAGCTCGGGGGGTGCCTGGAAGGGGAGCGGGGTGTTGCTGAGGCTCACAGGGGTGTGTGGAGGGGTGAGGTACCTGCCTCGTTCCGGGTACCTGATGGCGGGGTTGGCGGGTCATGCACTGCGTGTGCTGAAGGTTCCGTCCCGTCCAAGCACCGCGAGACAGGGACCTACGCACCTAGTTGTGAGTGAGTGCCAAGGGCCACTGAGCGTCGCTCACCTGCAATCGTAATGTACTCATTCGTTATTTAGGCTAGGAGCGAGACGAGGCTAGGAGCTGGACGGCCTCTTGAATGTCGCTCGGCCCAGCCGCGCTTGCATCGCGCTGCCACCGTGGCAAAGGGTTTGCATCTAGAACCACCAAACTGTCTTATAACAGTCTAGCCAGCAGCCCTGCGCTTCTCCTTGCACACGGCCACGGCGCTCCAATACCATGCCCACAGCGCCCATCCACCTCAGCCGGACAGGAACTGGCCCACGTACTCTTTGCGGATCGCATTGTCGTCCAGTTGCGGGCACCGATTCAGGGGCGTCCACTTGGGCTCGTCCTTGAACAGGCGCATCGCGTGGACGTACTTGATTTGGCCGGTCAGCTCCTGCGACGTGACACTGTCCGTTCACCCCGGAGTACTCACGTTGGACTCGTCCGTCGTAAAGCGGTGGTAGATGCCCGCGGGAAGGATCAGCAGGTCGTCCTTCTCGAGCTGGACGCGCACCCAGTCTTCGTCCCTCGTCCGCACGTCAAAGTAGCCCTGGCCGCCGCGGATGTAGCGGATCTCCTCGTCCTCGTGCAGGTGCTCGTTGAAGAACATCTTGACCTTGTCCTCGTAGACGTCGCCCATCTTTTCGGGCGACACGGTGATCTCATCGCGGTTCTTGTAGCCCCGCTCGGCGGCCAGCTTGTCGACGCCCTCGAGGCTGGGGAAGCGGTAGTACAGGACGCCGAGCCCGCGGAGCTCATCCTCGCCCACGGCCCGGCCCGAGTCGTGCGGAAGGCGCTGGTCCCCCTGGAGGCATGAGACTCGTGAGTAGACTTGCGTGGCCGCCTGGCACCGTCGTGGCGCGACTCACCGGCAGGTTGTCGTAAATGTACGCCTTCATGCTGTAGAGGCAGAGACACACGAGCGAAGCAAAGGCGAGCTATTTCGGTGATGGCGCGTAGACGCAAGGTGGACGAAGAACGTGAGATGGATGAGGCGCAGATGAACGAGAGGTGAAGCAGGACAAGGTACTTTATTTAGCGAGGCAACGAGCGACTTCCGTTTGGGCTCGCAACGGCCCTGCTGTCAGACGGTCAGCGGCACAAAAAGTGCCGGCAGCCAAAAGATGAAGAACCTGGCGCAATGAGCGCCACCTGATTGGGTGTCTCGGAGCCACTGGTGGGTGAGTGCCAGCCCCGCCGTTCCTCGCCATCGGCGGCGGGCTCTGTAGGTCTGTCCGGAGGTTCCCATCGACTGCGGAGTTCCGTGGTCGTACATAAGGTACCTCCAGGTACCAAGGTCAGTACAACCTCGGGGCGCTGGCAGGGTGCACGACAAGCTGTTACCAAGGCCTGCGACTCCGTGGCACGGAACTTTGGTGCATTATTATCAGATGCTGTGCGCAAGGCGCGGTCAAGCCCCCACGATTGAAATGCCAATACTTCCCTTGCCTCAAGCCTTCGAGTTCCAAGATGGTGGTGGTGCCGTGCGTGCCCGCTGCCCGGGCGGTGCGACCTTAGCACCCAAGGTACACGTGCAGGCACCCAAAGCTGCTACTGCCGGTCCCTGGAGCAGACGGGACGCGCAGACGGGGCTCCTCCATTTCAACCGCCACCAGCACGACACTCCACGGCGGGCTTGCGTGCTCGGCTGCCCGGGCAGGCAGGTAGCAAAGGCTCGACGCTACTAACACACCAGTACAAGATGGCTCGTGGTTGGAGGTACGACAAGAAATGACGGAGTCAGGAGCCAAACATGCCATCGGGCCCACTGGGCGACCTGCACTGTATTACATCCCATTGCATCCAATGATGACCAATCTCTGCACCATCCGGAGATCATTATGTCAATCTATTGCAGCAATCTATTGCAGCATATCCGAGCCTCTGTGTTGCAGGCCGACCGCTATAAACCACAGTACAAAACAAGAACTGGCACGAGCCCGCCTCGCCCGCCTACTTGAAATGGGGCGCGTTGAGGAACAGCCCCATGAGCACACCGCCGATGGTGCCGGCGATGGGAATGGTCATGATCCACGACAGCAGCAGCAGGCCGACTCGCTGAAAGTTGACCGCCTTGAGCGTGCCGTTGCACAGACCGACACCTGTCTCTTATACACATCTAGATGTGTATAAGAGACAGGTCATGATCCACGACAGCAGCAGCAGGCCGACTCGCTGAAAGTTGACCGCCTTGAGCGTGCCGTTGCACAGACCGACACCGACCGTCGCGCCCGTGATACACATGGACGTCGACACGGGGAGGGAGAACTGAGAGAAGACCAGGACCGTGATGGCGGCACCCATCTCCATGGAGCTCCCTGCAGATACAGTCAGTCGCTGGCACTCCTCACAGCAGCCTAGGGGAGAAACCCGGGGGGGGGGGACAAACCTCGGCTCGGAGAGTGGTACGTAATCTTGTTACCCATGACTGTATAACCGTGTCAGCGAGAGGCCCTCAAGAGAAAGGGCATGCCAGACTCACCCTTCATGATGTTATAGCCGTAGGTGATGAGACCCAGCGAGATGGTGGCCGAGAGAACCGCAAGCTGCCAGACCGGCACGGGGGCCTTAGCGGCAGCCGCGTTGCCGGTAGACCAGGCTGAGTAGATGACGGCCCATGGGCCGACCGAGTTGCCAATGTCGTTGGCGCCGTGCGCGAAGGAGGCGGTGCAGGCAGTGAGGACCTGGACAAACGAGTAGGTGTGCTCGACCTCGTTGGGGTACTTCTCGGCGTTCGCATACACGCGCTGCATGCGGTCGCCCTCAGGGGTGCCGGCGATGCCCGTCTGCGCCGCGTGGATGTCGTAGTGCAGGCCGTAGAGCGCGCCGACCACGACCATGGCAGGGATGCGCTTGGCGAGGATCTTGATGTTGTGGAGCTCGTACATCTGGCCGGCGCCCATGGGGTTGTCGCGGAGGGTTCGCATAGCCCAGCCCAAGGGCCCGCGCTTCTCCATGAGGCGCGCGTGGAAGCGGCTTTCGCCCTGCGCGACGAGCTCCTTGTACGTGGCCTGCGTGGCCTCGGCCTTGGCGGCCAGCTTTTCGTGGTCCTGAGCAGGCTCCGTCAGAGGCGCCTCGGCGGGAACGGCCTTGTGGGTGCCATCCTCGCCGACAGACATGGGCGAGCCGGCCAGCGTCTGGTCGTCATGCTCGTCCTGGACGACGGCGTAGTTGGGCACCTTGGCTCGGTCGGCATCGGCAGGGGCCGGGCGCTTGAACAGCAGGGGGCCTTGGACGAACATCCACCACTTGACGGTGTAGTCCTTCTTGATGACCTTGGCGTGGACAAAGGGGACGAAGAAGATGGCGGAGAGGAGCGCGACACCGCCGCCGGTGCCCATGGTCACGGCAGCGACGTACCACGCGGGCTTCTTGTTGAGGCCGAGGTTGGGGGATCCCTTGTACACGATGGATAGGGTGCAGATGGTGCCGGCGATGAGGAAGAAGAAGGGGGAGGTCCAGACGGCCCACTCGACGGGACGCTTGCGCATGTGCACGACGAGCTTGATGAGCATGAAGATGGTGGCGGCGAAGCCGGCCGAGATGACGGGGGCCATGCCCAGGCCGGCAAAGATGGCGCCGAGCCCCTTTCCGTCGTTCCAACCCCACTGGACCTTGGAGGCACCGACGGTCGCGACGCCGACGCCGGCGACGGCGGAGATGAGCGAGTAGGTGGACGAGACGTGGGCGGAGTGGCGGGTGCACCACATGACCCACGACGAGGCGGCGGCGAGGGCGCAGGTGAAGGCGAGCATCTGGACGCCAGCGTCGCCTTTGAAGGCTGAGTTGGGGATGATGCCGTTTTTGATGGTGTCGGCGGTGCGGGCGCCGACGGTGATGGCTCCCAGCATCTCGAAGATGGTGCCGAAGATCATGGCCTGCCTGTAGGAGATGGACCGGGAGGAGACACTGGTGGCCCAGGAGTTTGCAACGTCGTCTGGTGGGCGTCATGTCAGCGAGGTGTTGGGGCGGGCGACGGATACAGGCACGGGACGGGACTCACTGGCGCCATTGTTGTAGGCATCAAGCATGGCAAACAAGGTGCCGATGACGAAGACGTAGGTGTACTCTTCGAGCGCCATGGTCAGTGATGTGTAGAGGCCCTGGGGCGCTCGCGACAACCGGATCAAGGACGAGGGGACGATAAGGACAAGGAGACGGGACCTCGGGGTCGGACGAGCAAGGACTGGCGCTTTCGTCTCGGGCTCTCGCTGATCTCACTCGCATCGCAGGAGAGCAGAAGCAGGAGCGGACAGGGAGGGCGCGGCGCGCGGGCTTTATATTATACAAAGGCCATGCCGTCCAGGATCCGTCCACGCTGGGCAGCAGAGGAGACGACGGGCCAGGACTCCATCGGCTGCTGCTACCTGTCTGTCCCCCACATGGCTCCGTCGGTTCACCGAAGGCTGCAGGCAATCAATGCATGCAGCAGCAGTGGCGAACGGCGTGGTCGTGTGCGCAGGCGAGGCATTGTGCTGAACCGGGACGGCGAGGTCGAGGCACGGCGGCGTCTCTCCTATGACACTCGCGGAGGAGCCCACGTGGGTGCTGCGCGACGTTGGAAGCGGCGACTAGCGGCCGGGGCCAGGGGTCGCCCGGGCGGCCAGGGGGGGTCTCGAAGGCGTCGATGGGGACGAATGGCTCGCGTGAGCGCGCGGAACTTCTAGCCAGAGTGGTCGACCGAACGGTGGAACCCGGCGAGACTGTCTTTTAGCTCGTTAAGCTTGTCGGCCATGCTTACATGTCGACCATTGACACGCCGCGCCTCGTCTCGCTCGGTCGCGTGCGGGCGTTGCCGCGAGCGAGTGCTGAGCTGCCCGTGTCGTGCGTCGCCTCAGCCTGCCCGTTTGTCTGTTTTTCTGCTTGTCTGCCTGTCCAGCTGCCTCGTCTGATGCGGCATCGTCCGGCTGGCTGATGGATGAGGCGTCAGCCCTTGCGGCATTATGCCCAAGAAGATGCGGGAGTTCAAAAATACCTTGCGTGTCGGCTGTTGGTCTGGCCGTCCGCACGCAGCCCAGACAGAAAAGGTCCCAAGGCCAGGTACGAAGTACACACACACCACCACACCAAACCACACCATCGGCAAGGGACCAGGCAAAGAAGAAGAAGGGGGGGGAAAGGGCACAGCACCAGCACCAGCTGTCGGCCCCTCCGCCCGTCCATCGTGTCGCGGCACGCACGTGCGTGGTTCGGCCCAGCTACCCGACCGCGCCATTGCCCGGAGCTGCTCCCACGCGCATCGCTAGCGGAACCATCGCGGCCTGCCTGGGCCACCACTGCGGAGCCGCGTCGATGCGCCAGGCGCCGCCCGTGGGTTGTCCGCGCGGCGTCATTCGCTCCGGCTCTCCGCGTTGGTCCGTTGGATGACCACCTCGCAGACAGACGGCGGCACGAGTGGGCGACGGGCGACGGGCAATCCAAACGTCGTGGTCGGGCGCAGTCTCGTCTCCTCTCGCGACAGCAAAAATTCTCGCTGACCTCGCATCTGTCACAGCAGAGCAGAGCCTTCCCGGCCTGCAGCGCCGCCACGAGGCCGTCTGACGGGTGGTGGGCCGACTGGAATCATCCCCCGGTGACCGGCAGCTCCATGGCTCGGTCGGTTGGCGGCGCCCTTATTCCATCTCCGGCGATGGACAGTCTGACCAAGGGTCGACGACGCGCTGTGCATGCAACGCATTAGTCGGACAGTCCATGGGCGCATGCATGGGTGGGATCCCGACCTGGGTACTCACCATCGTCCGTCCACACAATGCCTCCGTGTCGCAGAAGATGGACTCGCAGTCGCAGGTCGGCGTGTCCTGCCAACACACCTAATGTATGGGACCGGAACGGACCAGGGAGACGCGCGCGAGAGAGCCGGGAGAGCAGGTCAGGTCAGGGTATTTAATAGTCGTCGGCCCCCCGACTCGCGCAAGCAGCCAAGAGCCCGCTGATCGTCTGCCCAGCCCTTGGCAACGTCTGGAACTGTCCTTTGTCGCCTCGCTTCTGCCACGCAAAGACCTGCTCGCCAATCATCGAGGCCGCCATCGCTGTCCCGCGCGCTCCTCCAGGCCGCATTTGAAGGCGTCGCCAACTGACGACATCAGCCACGTCTTGGCGCGGGCTCCCGTCCGCTCTGTCCTGCCCCTGGATCGGGGGCCGGCAGACACGATACGACCCGTGCTGGCCCGGTCGCCAATGCGTGTAACCTGAGCTGACACTGATGCCCAGACGGTTGTAACCGAGTACTCCCCTATGCGCCAGCATCGGAAACGGGCGCGATGCAGCCTCCTTGGCTGCGCTCCCGTCAGCGTTGCAGACGAGACGTGGCCGTGACTGCTTGCGTCATTTTGCTCCGTACGGATCATTGCCACAACCCCTCCAATCCACAATGTCTGGTGTACTCGTAGTGCTGCGACGCACAGTACAGCACTGCAATGGTCCATGAACGATTCCATAAAGTGTTGCTGCGGGTCTAATGTGAATAATCGCGTAGACCTCTGTCCTGTAAACGCCCTGTAGCAATGCCAATGCCTGTCGAAACAAACGCGGCCGCACGTCGTCGCCACGCTGAAAAACCAAAGCCATCCCAACTACTTCGTACTATGTATGTACAAGCATCCAGCGGCCACGCGCGCCAGTGCAAACTCGCAATTGCATCCCGGGATCCCATCTCACTGCACTCCCCCGGGCATGACGGGACCGGCAGCGTCCCTGGCGCCAGCGGCAGCCACGTCGTTGTTGATGCCGTTGTCAGAGTCGGCCGGGCCGCCGCCTTCGAAGAGGCGTCTCCACCACCCCGGAGGGTCGAGCGGCCGTGAGCCGTTGTGCAGTGGCGGATATACGTCGGTGAAGAAGTACCAGACGTGGCCGATGACCACGCCCATGATCTCGTCGCGAGGGATCGTACCATGCATGAAGAGGCTGAAGGCCATGAGGACCCAGGGCAAGTACGGCGCCGTAAAGACCAGCAGGCCAAGAAAGCTTAGCCTCGTGTCTGGGTTGCGTCGCGACCATATGTAAACGAGGGTCGACGAGAGTGGGTGGCCCAGGAATGGCATGGAGACCAGTGGCGACAGCGCGATGAGGCTCGCCATGGCGTAGAGAAGTAGCCAGGAGAAATGCGCAGGCGACCGGCCGGACGACTCCTCTAGGAGGCGCGCATACCGCTGAAGGAAGTATATGTGGAAGAGGAGGTCGAGGGAAAAGGGTCCAAAGTAGAGAAACGTCGTCACTAACCGCCAGTACTGCGCAGGGAGACTAGGTCAGCGACATTGGGTCGTGAACAAGACGAGGAGTGGGACACGCACCTGCGACTTGACAAAGACGGCTCGGAAGCTGTAGAAGAGCTGGAAGGGCGTCACCATGTGGCACTGAACGAGAGCGCTCGTCAGCACCGTGGCGGCAGTCCACCAGCGCGTGCACATGGGCATCTCCCAGAACCATGCCTCTAGGGGCAGGCGGCCGCCGTCCATGACTTGGTCCATGGCTTCATGTACGCGATGTATGCGATTGTCGTCGGCGACTCGCGACTGACAGACTGGTGGCTACGCTTCCGTCGGCGGGCGAGCTCGGCTCGGCGGACGGGGACTGGTTCGCTCGGCGGCGTGCAAGCGAGGAGGCAACGGGCAATGACGCGGGCGATGCCGAGTCGAGGCGGCTGCGGCTTTGACGCCGTCGTGCGAGCGGCCGGCGAGAACCAAGTCCCGTACAATCGTGACGGCCGGGAATGCGACCGGGTCTCGCGTGTTGCGTTAATGGATGGGTTAGCAGAGCCGATGCGGACCAGACGCTCCAAAGCTGTTGAGAGGCGACGTATCACCAATGACGCAGTGGTGGCGGATGATGCGCGGGCACGGTCAGGCAGGCCCCTGGGCCGGCACCTTGCACTGGGTAAGAATGCCGAGCACTATTATTACCTAAGAAGACACCTGGACCCTTTGTGATGCGAGGTGGCCTTTTTTTCTCCCACCCACGCCGCATTCTGCGGCAGGCACGGAGTAGGTACTTTGGAATTACTTCGTACCTACTGTTCCTACCGATTGTGCAGGTGAGCCCAGCGCAGTTCGGCTGCCTACGGTACCTACAACGTGCCTACTTCACCTGAGGCGAGAAACCTGAATGTCCCGTGGGATCACCCGAGGCAGTGTCAGGTTCCACCTCGAGTCCTTGCAAAAGTACGATACAATTACATGATACATAATACAGTACTACATAATAACTACGGTGGTGGGCACAGTCCCCAGTCGCCCGACTTGCCGGGTTGAGGGCGCCCAAGTCTCCCTCCCGCCCGGCGCCCGCAACGCCCGCAACGCCCACGGAGCGGAGGTGGAGACGACCGGATGCAACGGTCGCGGCGGGCGGGCGGGCGTGCGCCCGGCAAGCGCCCCGGGGGTGGTCAGGCGCGAGCAAGCCGAGGTGCTACTTAATGCCCTTCATCTGTTGCGCTGCGCCAGTCTCGTGGTCGAACCATTGGACCAAGTGCGAATGCCATTGACAACTGCCGACTCTGTCTGCCTGCGCCAGGACCTACAATGCGCTACGACAGCCAACTTGGCCCTAGATTGCCCGCCGCAGCTGCTGAGGTGTTTGCGCGCCATCGAATGTTTGCTCACTTGCTCGACTGATGCACGGCTGCCGGTGGCTGGGACGTGGGTGAGTGTATCATGTACGAGTGCATGAATGCATGTCGCATCGCATCCGTGGGTGTTTGCTGCTTGCCGGAGGTGCCCGCCCAGAAGCGGGCCCCAGCCGCCGCCTTTTCTGGGCCCGGCACCCGAAAAAGTCGCGGGGCTGGGGCGCGTGGCGTGGCGTGGCGTGGCGTGGGCAGCTTTTAATTGATTTCCGCCAGCCACGCGCCGCCAACGCGCCTGCGCGCGTCTCAATCCCCACAAGCTCTCGCAACCCGGAAGGAGCCCTGGAGCTTCCGCTTCCTTCCCTTTGCATTTTCGCATCGTCGCCCTCATCGCTACAATACAGCGCTTTTATTTTATTTTCGCCTCGCCTCACTCACCTCGCACGCCGACGAGTTTGCCTTGCTTGGACCGCGCGCCTCTCTCTCCATCGACATAGCATCATTATCCCTCCTCCATCCCGCCGCGCTCCCCGAGAGCATCCTCCGAACCCGCCTGCCACACAGCGCCTCAGAGAGCCGTCGCCGCATCCGCACTGCAGCAGCGATGCCGCCCAAAGCCCGGAGGTCTTCTGGCGTAACAACCGCCCGTCGGACGCGACCAGGCGATGTACAAGGTGAGTCGAGCTCTTTGCGCCAAGCATGCCAGCTTCCCGCGTCCGATGCGCCTGAGCTAACAACGGGCGCCCGTTGCCTTCTTTTAGCCGGCGACCCTGTCCCCATACGACAAAAGAGACGCTATCGCCCTGGAACCGTTGCCTTGCGCGAGATCCGCCAGTACCAGAGCGGCACCAAGCTGTTACTCCTGAAGCTCCCTTTCATGCGCCTGGTAGGTCCCAACCTTGAGCCTTGCTGGATCCCGCTTGATCGGTCACTGACATGCGCTTCCCACGCGACTAGGTCCGAGAAATTGGCATGAACTGCCGGCCGAGGGGACGAGAGTTTAGGTGGCAGAGCCAAGCAATTCAAGCTCTGCAAGAAGCAGCCGAGGCATTCATGGTCCATCTGTTTGAGGATGCCCAGCTCTGCGCCGTCCATGCCAAGAGAGTCACGATAATGCAAAAGGACATACAGCTTGCAAGGCGTATTCGAGGCATCTGGGCCGGCCTCGGGTAAAGACGGTTCGACGCGCCAGCGTCCTTGTGAACGCAGCGTCGCTGGCAGCTTGTCTTGTTTCTTTTAACGCACTGGCGTTGGTGTGCTTTGTCTACACGCGTGGCGTTACTGGGGCTTATATCCGGGGCACGTAAGCATGTGTCTCAGCCGGCGTCGCCGGTGTTGAATTTGGGTGTTGCTGGGATCTTGTAGAGTTTTGCACAAGGGGCTTTGATCAGGCGGCGGCGAGGCCCGTGGCGCGGCAGGAACGGTACATTAGGGACGATGACGGAGAGCATGAAGCTCCAAGCGGTTGTTTGCGGCGAGACGCCTTTGTTCCGTCCGATGTCATTTCAGCGCTGCATTGGTTGCGTCGGAGATGTAGCACAGTCAATGCATCTCGAGAATAGATACCTGTGGGCCCAATGGCCACTGATACCGTTTCGATGTCATATTTCGCGTTGGCGTTGCGCGAGGCGGACATCTTGTACGAAGGTAAGACGTGTCGTTCTCCCACGTACGTATGGAGTGGTAAGAAGGCCGGCACCGGCTCTGGAGGAGAGGCCCAGCGAATCTGGTGTGGGCCGGATTAATCGTGAGCTCGCAGCTAGCTCGAGTATAATACTGTAGCGCAACGGCGTGTAGTGCCTGGGACGGAAATTCCACAGTCGAGGTCGCGTGAATGACGTCATTCGGGGCTCCTCCAGTTCGCCGTCGTTGGCGGGCCGTGTTGCTTCAGACACGGGTGCCCGTAGCTGCTACCTGCTTGTTACCTCGGGCAATCCACCGCTTCGTCCCTCCCCGGACCTCCGGCGCGACTCACCTTCCTCACTGCACCAAACAGTCAAAACGTCAAGAAGAAGCCCCAACGGCCAGCACTCGAAGCGCGCAAAAAGTAAGCATCAATGAACAGGATACTGCGCTCCGGCGCATGGCGCAGCGCGCGACGTCTCGCAGCCCCCAGCATCATCGGAGGCGCCACGATCCTCTACACAGGCCCTTCGGTTCGATTCGACACGCCAGCCGTGCGCCAACCCCGGCAGCAACGGCGGTCTCTTGATACCACCATATCGCCGGATATGGTCCGCCAAGTCTCCAGCGGCAGTCTTGCAGGTACCTACCTACCTCTTCCTCAAGCCCGGCCGCCGTCTCTTCTCTTGGCCATGCCCAAGCTTGCCGGCCCTCGGCGCATTCTCTCATCCCCAGCATCCCCTTCTAGAGAGGCTAAAAGGTCCTGGCTCATAGGCTTTGCCGCTGGCGTCGTGGTCGCTCTCTTTTCTCGAACTCTCGTCTTTTTGGGCGGCTTGCTAGTCCTCTCCATTCATGTACGGACCTGCGTTGGCGGGGAGCCCTACCCCTTTCCACTTGCCCAGACCCCCCCACCTCTGGCTTCCTTGTTCTTCACGGGCTGACGCTGTGCGCTTCAAGATTGCTTCTCGCTGGGGGCTTGACCTACCCAGGGCGGTAGGCTTAAACCCGCAGCGGTGGCCCGGTGTCTCGTACTTGACCAGAGTAACCGCCGATAACCCGTGGTTCACGTCTTCGTTTGCCGCCACGTTCATCCTGGCAGCACTCGTCCGCCTTTAAGGGCGCCCGCATTGAGCATACTGAGATCTTGTTATTGACTATTCCTCATTCCAAGGGCTGCGTCTCTCGAGTAAGCCATGCCATAGTTAGAGGGTCGCTTTCAAAGAACGCCTTGGTCTTGGCCAGAATCTCAGCATTGTATGCGTTGACCCAGTCCTTCTCATCCGATGTCAGAAGGCTCGTGTCCATCAAGTTCCGGCAATAAGGCACCATGGTGACGTGTTCGAACCCGAGATAAGGCTTGTCCCCAAAGCACTGCTCCGTCTTGACCTCCTTGACCATCATGATGTTTTCGATGCGAATTCCAAATTTGCCATCCTCGTAATAGCCCGGCTCGTTGGAGAGCACGTTCCCGGGTGCCAACGGGACCTCTGTGTATTGGACTCGGGTGCCAATGCCAATCGGACCCTCGTGGACGTTGAGGTACGAGCCCACGCCGTGACCTGTGCCGTGTCGATAGTCCAAGCCGTTTTTCTGAGAAATGGTCAGCCGTCACTGGTGCTTTCTTTGCTTCGCAAGCGGCTGCGTGTGCGGTGGCTGCCAATCAAAAGACTCACCCAGAGATGCTGGCGGGCAAGACAATCCAGCGCAAAGCCGGTCGTGCCCTTGGGAAAGACGGCCGTGTCGAGACCAATGACGCCCTTAAGCACCAGAGTATACGCTTTCCTCTCAGCTTCGGTCGGCTTGCCGAAGTGCAGCGTGCGCGTCGTGTCAGTCGTGCCATCCAAGAACTGGGCTCCCGAGTCACAGAGGTACACGCTCCCTGGGTCAATTGTCGCACAGCTTCCCTTTTCCGGGCCGTAGTGGATGATTGCCGCGCTAGAGTAGAAAAGTGGCTTGTCAGTCCCTTGCGGAAGGCCTCGGCCACGTGGTCTCGAGGCATTGGGGTAAAGACGCTGTGTCTGACGACTTACTTGGGTCCCGTCGACGAGATTGTAGGGAAGGACAGGCCAACAAAGTGGCCCTTCTTGGATCGCAGCTCTTCCAACTTATCGGCGGCCTCGACCTCGTCGAGCGTGGCCTTCTTATTCACGAGTTGGTCCTCCAGCCAGGCGAAATATTCGATGAGGGCTGCGCCGTCCCTCACATGGCACGCCCGCATCCCCCCCATCTCGGTCTCGTTCTTGATGGCCTTTGAGTCTCCGATGGGACTCCTGATCTCCTCTACTGACCCTTCACCTCCCAGAGCTCTCTGCAGTGCCCACGAGCCCTTGTTGGACATGAGGAACATCTGGGGTGCCGCCGCGCTTGCGGCGTTGTTCTTCTCGCTAATCTCAGCATGCAGGTCCCGGGCGTCGGGGAAGAAGGCATCGTAAGGACGTATGTTGACATCGTTGGCGGCCAGATGCGCCTTGCACCCTTCATCAAGTTTGGACTCGTCGATGTAGAGAGTTGCCGCGTGCGGGGTGACGGTAGCATAGGAGAAGAAGACGGGGTTGTAAGGGATGTCGCTGCCGCGGAGGTTGAAAAGCCACGCCACTTCATCGAGCATGGAAACGAAGAATCCGGGGCAATTCTTCTTGGCCAGCTCCTGGCGGAGATCGGCAATCTTGCCTTGAACTGATTTTCCGGCAACATCATCGGTTAGGACTGTGACGGCCAGGCGGGGGCGCGAGGGCCGGCCGTCAGACCAGGCAAGGTCAACCAGGTTATCATCGAGGGCTACAAGGTCTGAGCCACCCGCCTTGCGAATCTGCTCGGCAAGCTTCTTGGCGGCCGGGCCTGCAAGAAGAGTAGGGTCGACGGCAACAGTCTTGCCACCGGTCGACTGTTCGGCGGCCCATTCCTGCCACGTCGGCACGTCCTGGAGGCCTTGCTTGAGCAGGGTCCAGTTATCATCGAGTTGCTTGGAGGCCTGGTTGAAGTAGCGTCCATCGGTGGCCAGGGCGGCGGCTTGGAGCGTCACAACAGCACAGCCTGCAGAGCCGGTGAACCCCGATATGAACTCGCGTCGAGCATCGCAGTCGGCAATGTACTCGGAGCTGTGGCTATCTTCGGACGGAACGACTGTTTTGGTTGCAGTGTCAGTCATGCTGGCGCACGCAAGGTTCGGTGAACTCACTATACACATGAACGCTTCGCTCTTCCATCAGAGCCCTCAGCTTAGAAAGCCGAGACGAGGTATCGACCTTGGCCATGGCCGTAGTGTACGGACGAAGGCTGGGATACAGGGGGCGAGGTTGCAAGCGGTAGCTCGAGCTAGCTGTGAGTCGAAGTGCGGCGGCGGCCAGGCGCGACACCATGGACGAGTATTCGACGGGCAATGGAGACAGCTATGTCGTCGAGGCCTGTCTTTGGCGTGACGGCCTGGTCAGCATGGCAATTGCCAGGCTGCAATTGAGCGGACATGGAGGACTGGGGCTTACTGACCTTGCCGTGCGTTGACGTGGATGGCAGAGACTGGACGCGTGTGGCAGACCAAAGGATTGGGGTGCGCGAGGTCGGGCAGGAGGTCCCAGTGGGTATTTAGCTCATGGGCAAGTTGATTGTGTGGCGCGGTATGGACAAGGTGGTGTTGACGATGACGGGAGCTTCCTGGAATCCTTGGGCACAGGCAGGAACCCCACCCCACGTCGCCGCCGGGGCTCCTGGCGGGGAAGCGGGCGACCTGGGCGGGTAGGAGGGTGCGCCAAAAAG